GGAGAAACATGGAGAAGAATAAGGAAAAAAATGGGATTGATACAGACAAAAATAAAGAATTAAAAAACTAGATAAGGCGGAAAAAACTCGGAATGAGCGAAGACGACATGGCGAGATGAAGGGACACGAAATGGAAAAACAACAAAAAAGCAACAGGAAAGGAGAAAAAAGGTGACAGATCAATAATTAAACTGGGAACATGGAACATAAGAGGCACTTATAAAGAAGGAGCCCTGAGAAACCTGATAGACACAATGGAAAAGTATCGTCTGGACATATTAGCCCTACAAGAAACAAAGCAGCAAGGAAATGAAGATAAGAAAAAACGTATTCTTTAAAAGTGGAGGAAATAAAAGGTACTTTGGGACTGGATTTATAGTGAATGAAAGGATAAAGAGGACCGTGATCGACTTCGAATCAATATCGGACAGAATATGTTACATAAGAATTCGAGGAAAATATTAAAATATTTAAGCATTATAAATGGACATGCACCTACGGTGCACGCATCACGATTGCAAATATAATAAGACAAATTCCAAAATATGACATAAAAATAGTTATCAGAGACACAAACGCAAATGTAGGAAGAGAAGAAGGCTTCCGGCATATCACCGGAGGGAAAAGTCTACACAAAGAAAGCAAAGAAAATGGAAAAATGCTGATAGAGTTTGCTCAAGAAAATAAAATGAAAATAATAAGCACTCATTTTGACCATAAAAATATACATAAAGAAACATGGACCTCCTCCAACAACAAGACAAAGAACGAAATAGATCATGTTCTAATAGAAAATAGAGACCGTCCGATGATTCACGATTGTAGGAGCTACAGGGGAGCAGATGCTAACAGCAATCACACACTAGTTACAGCAAAAATAAAAGAAAAACTACCAACCAATAGTAAAGTAAAAAAAGAAAGAAAAAGAGTCAATGTTGAGATATTAAAGGACAAAAAAATAACACAACAAATTGAAATAGAATTAAATAAAAGTCTAGGAGGTAAAGATACAACACACGAAACAATAGAAAGATGAATGGAGCCAAATTGAAACAGAAATGGTAGAAACAGCAAAGAAATACATGGACAATCTCGAACGAAGAAGTAGAAAGGAAGATTGGTATGATGAAGAATGTAAGAAAGCCTTGATAAGTAGAAACATTGCAAAAATAGGAAAAGTTCAAAAACCAGCAAAGGAAGCAATAAAAGATTATGAAGAAAAAAGGAAAATAGCCAAACAAATTTGCAGACGGAAAAAGAGAGAACATTTGAAAAAAAAGGCATTTAATAGAAAAACACTACAATAAACAAAGATATACAAAACGGTATTCTGCAGAAGTAAAGAAGGACAACTGATTGGAGGCATAGTAGAAAAACTACACAGATGGGCGGAATATTTTGAAGACCTACTAAATGACAAGACGGAGGAAGAACAACAGCCAATAGTAGTGAAAACAAGAAGACAAAAAAACAATGAAAAACAAGAAAAAATAGAAGAACCAACAAGACAAGAAAGAAGTGAGTAGAATGATACAAGAAATGAAAAGTCATAAAAGCCCCGGAGAAAATGGAATACCTGCAGAACTACTGAAAATAGGAGCCGAACAACTTACTAAGAGAATATATCAGCTAATATTTAGAATATGGCAAGAAGAGATAACACTGAAAAGATGGAACAGCGCCATTATCTGCCCCATATTTAAAAAAGGAGACAAAACGGAATGTGAAAACTACAGAGGAATAGCCATACTTGATGTAGTGTATAAGATCTTAGTAAAAATCATAAGAACTAGAATGAGAAAATTCACCATGCAAACAATGGCAGAATATCAAAGGAGGGTTTAGAACAGGAACATCAACTACAGATCAGATTTTTACTCTAAAAACGATGGCAGCTATGAGCAAAGTCTAAGCCTGCACATCCCTATCATAGACTTTAAAGAAGTCTACGATTCGATAGGCCGAAACATGTCATACGAAGCAATGGAAAAGCTAGAAATACCAAGAAAATTGATAAGATTAGTTAAAATGACACTACAAAACATGAACAACAAAATTATTTTGGAAGGTAACATGTCAAGAGAATTCTTGGTTAGAAAAGGGCTACGACAAAGAGATCCACTATCAAGCGACCTGTTTAATGTTGTACTAGAGGACATAATAAGGGGAAGCAGTATACAAACAAATGGATTAATATATCACCATAAGAAGCAATGCATTGCATAATCAGACGATGTCGCCTTCCTTAGGAAATCAAGAAAGGAGCTAGAAAGGACATTTAAGAATTTGAAAGAGAGGCGAGGAAGTATGGTCTAGTGGTAAATGAGCAGAAGACGAACGAAATACATGGAAATAAATTCAGATGACGTAAAAGAAGATCGATATGTTAAATTAACAATCCAAAGAAGCAAAGGAAATAGAAAAAATAATGCGAAAAGGCAGCAGCGCAATGGGTTATCTAACATCAATAATGCAAAAAAAATATATCGCGAAATTCAAAAATACGAAACAATCATAAGACCAGTGCTAATGTACGCAAGTGAAACATGGACACTGAATAAACAAGACGAAATGAAATTGGAAACATGAGAAAAAAAAATAATAAGAAAAATTTTCGGAGTGGTCAAAAGTACAGAAGGAGAATGGAGAAGAAGGACAAACCAGGAAGTCATGAGCCTGAATAGAAGACCGAGGATCACACAAAAAATTCGAGCGGAAAGAATCAGATGGTTAGGACACATAACTAGAATGCTAGGACAAAGAATAGCAAAACGAGTATTAGAAGAAGGAAGGGGTCAGAAACGAAGAAGAGGACGCCCAAGAAAGAAATGGGTAGAGGAGGTGCAGAAAGATCTGAAAGCAATTAGAGTGAAAAACTGGAAAAGTGTAGCCACAGACCGGAAGAGATAGAAACAAATAACTGCCAACATAGAAGCCAAGGGCCTAGATGGCCTGTAGCGCTACTATATATATTGAAATCCATAAATGTCCTCATAATATCAACCGAGGCAATGGTTATTATCTGTCAAATATTTGGAAGCCCACACTGGATGCAATTGCTGCTCGTATATCTCCCCCTACACCGCCTGGAGATCACAACCACATTCTTACTGCTAGAAGTGCTAGAAGAGTTTCGCGCCTGGTATGGTATGGTATGGTATGGTGCTCTTTTGCCTTATTCTTAATTTCTCAACTCTGCCCCTGAAGATGCCACTTATGAAACTGTGCGAAACGTTGAGGCCATAGACTCAATTGATACGGTCCCAACCCGGAAAACGATCATATACTAGTATATAATTCTTCTCTTATGTTAATAATGTTTCTGTTTGCAAATTGTATTTATAATAAAATTTTGTTATTTGATATTTCTTAAATTATTTAATTCGCAATTCAAGTTTTTCAAGAAAACATTACGCGATGTGGGGTGTGATATGCCTCGACTCAATCGTTGACAATAATGACAAATTTATGACATTTTTATAGATAGATGGTCGTAGATATACTAAGTATTATTTACTGACCATCTGAATTTTTCGATCTATTAACAAATCAGACATTTATGTATTAATTTTGCTAAATTCAAGTTATCATACGTAGAAAGCTTAAAAAAATTATAATTAACATTCAGTGCATTAGAAATAAGTCAAATCCACTGAAACTTTTTTTAGAAGAAGTAAATCACAACATTTTTCTCGTATCGGAACACTCCTTATGCCTGAACAAAAATTTCTTTACAAATAAATTCTTTTGAGAAACAATATTCCTGGAATGAAAATAATGTGAGAAAAATTTACACCCGAAAGGACGTCAATTGCCTAAAAGTATATTGGTCACCGAATTTCTTGATTGGGTATAACAGATTTTTCCAAAATCATGTAAGTCTCAGTTAAATTTGGTGGCTGATTTTAACGTCGATTTTATTATTAATTGTGCAAAGATGTATTTTACTAGACCTATTTATTTCGCGTAATTCCCATAGTTTGCAGCACTTATTGGTGTCGAATTCACGGTGGTAGAAGTAAAGGGTGGAAGCACGCGGTTTCAATTTTCCGAATAAAACACGCACCCCAGTAGGTTTATTTACTACGAAACAGTAACCACTACAATATGTCCATCTAATAAGTATTTACATTTCAATTTCTCAGTGGATTTATGAATGAATAAATCACAGCACTACGGTTTGTGGTTGGTGTTTAATATGAATCGTGTGATTGGTCGACGTCTGTGATTGGATAATAAATGCCATTGTCATAAACGTCAAAGAATTAATGCAGTTTTCTATTATCTAATTTTAATTCATCGGTCTAGAGGTCGTTGCAGTCTGGAAGGCTAGTGACATATAATGCAAATCCCATGATTTGTGTTTTTTGTTAGTGACTTTCAGGAAATTTATGAATAAGGTTTCCACACCTTACTTTTATCACCGTGGTCAAAACCAACAAAAATTAAATAAAAAACAAGTTACAACATTTGTACACAACCGGAAATTCAGTGCAACGTAAAGATAAGTAGTAAAAGAAAAATGTAGAGATTAGTTTGGTATTCTTTTTGAAATAGGCAAAAAGTCAGTACCGTCAAATTATAAATTTCAAAAAACAATTCACATTTACGTACGTACCGTTCTATTCCATTTGGCATAATATTATCTTGATTAAATTTTATGATGAGTTGTTTAAGTTTTATCTTTCTGGTTAGCATGACCACAGTAATGATTCATGGAGTTAATAAAGATATATTGGAAAAAATTGGTCCAAACTTTTTAGACCGTACATACTTCCCCAGTAACAGCAAAATAAATTAAATTTCTTAAATAAGTTATAAAACTTACTTTTTTATGATAATCTTTATAACATAAAATAAAAATATGTGGACTGTTAAAGCACCTACAGCACATGAAATTATTTAAGCAAATTAACATTATTTTACCATAAACAAAAACATATCCCCTTAAGAGCGGGATTTTCTAAAAAGGGATGAGGATTCAAAAACAGCATTAAGCGATCGATTAAATAAAATTTATTCCTGGAAAAATACAAAACTATAAAGTCTTGGAGAAGCTTCCTATCCAAACATAGCATTCTATTAATTATATATTACTGAGAAAATACATTGTGGATGTGGATAGTCTATATTATCGTACGAGTATACACGATTTTTTTAGTCTTATTTAATGTTTACAATGAGTTCAGCAAAACGCAGACAACACACTTTTAAACTTTAGTTGCAGAACAAGTATATGAAATACGATACAACCAGCCATAGCGACCCAAGTGACGACGGCAGTGGAAGTTCTTTGGACGATTTGCAACGATCTCTTGAAATGTTGCAACGAATTTTTCAATTTTAGTTTCCCAAGTACTTAAACCACCATCGGCGATGTAAGAAATACAAAAAGGCAAATCTTCATTAGACGGTAATTCAACATTACAGTTACTTTCATGGCGAGACAAGTTCTTCTTAATTTCAGGCCATACCTTACAGTCCCAGGGATTTCCATACAAAACAAACGTTTGATGTTGGAGGGACAGATTATTTAGTTGTAGTTCTTTGAGATTATTCAGAGCTAGCGAAACTTTAAGATATGGTTGCTTTCCGGGGGTGTTAAGCACCTGGAGAACATCATACTGGTGAATTTTGTTGTTGGATAAGTCGATTAGTTGCAAATTATCCATTTTTTCGAACGTACCGCGTTCCAGTGTACTAACAGAATTGAAGGATATGTCGAAAACTACTAAGTGTTCCAAGTGCTTGATCGGTGGTAAGGAACTGAATTTGTTGTGGTTCAACGCCAGTTCTGTAAGATTCTTTAAATCTTTTAATACTTCATATGGAATATATCTCAATTCATTCCCGGCCAAGTTGAGATTCGTTAAACCTTTAGGAAGAGCATCAGCCTCGATGTGAACCAATTTGTTGTTTCTAACGCTTACAGACTTACTATCGCTAGGTAAAGAATGACGTTCTATCACTTCTAACAAATTTTCAGATAAATCAATTTCTTCAACTTGATCATAGAACGCATCAGGTTTCACTGACTCAATTTCGTTGTTAACCAAACTTAACAATTTTAGTGAATGCCTAGGAAGTTGATTTTTTCCAATCACTTTCAACTTGTTGCGATACAACGTGAGATATTTCAGGGGAGATTCATAATCACATGTCCAAGAGACGTGCGATTTTAACTCGTTGACTGATCGAATGATGACCAAAGTCGCTAATTTGTAATAAAAGGTGTAATCCAAATCGGCTATCAAATTAACAGAAGTTGGTGGTACACTACTATGTTCCGAGCCTATAATTAATGTTTTCATGTTCTCTACGTCGTCGTATTTTTTAAGGTCTTCGAAACTGTCACAGACTGTCGCGTAAGTTTGTCTGCACTCACACGAAATCAAATTGAACAACGTGCTACATAACAAGTACACAAGGAGAATTCTGGCAAACATTGTGCTTCAGTATTCGAAGCTCAAGTAGAACTAAATTGTCCCAGGCATGTCTTCTTACTTGGCTTGCAGAATGTAAAGGTGGCTGGTTCTTCTTTCAACAACGAACCAGTTTTCATGGTCATTATGAATATTAAATAAATGCAGTTTATCGACCGACTGAGGTAAGTTGACTTGACAGAACAGATTAATGAGTGCATCCGAAAGATTTCTTCAATTTTAATTATAAGGTATTTTAATTTAGCAATATGTTTAGGATATTGAAAATTCGTCTAAGGTTATTTAGACAGAACTTCGCTGAAGCACAACACAAAATATCCAGTTTTTGAAAAATTATAAGATTTGATATTAAGAATTTTATTTTTTGTTGATGACCTCAATAAGTTAAAATAAAGTATGTATGGAGTGTTAAAATGAAGGTAAAGAAGTGTATCCTATATGTATGATTCAATTGAAAAATAGATAACACCAGGCAGAGTGCAAGTAAACATAAAGTGACCTGATTTTTGGCTTGCTAACAAGCACAACACCCTAACTTACGCAGTTATTTACCCAATCAATTGCGTTCCTCTTATGTTAATATAAAATGTTATTAAAATTTGCGTTCTCTGCGAACATCTGCATGCTTAGGAAAAAAATCAAGACGGATTCATGAACCGCAAGTACAGGAGAATCTTGTGTTAACAGACGTTAACTTTTGACACCAATAAGTCTGTTAGTTTCGGAGATTCTCTGTACAGTAAATACCGACACAGATGATAGATGGATGGAAACGGGATACCAATTTTTTCATACTCGAGAGGTTACTACACGTCCTAAGCTTATGCTCGTGAAGAAAAAAGGTTGTAAAGGTCATGCATAAAGGTAAATAAAGTCTATATAGGAAGCTATTTCTATCTCGAAGTAGTTTACAACTATTTTGACAGGATATACCTCGCCCTTGAAGTACACTCCAACTAACCCGCTTCTTTGAAAAGTCATTAAATTTGATTTTGCGACATTTTATTTGTGGCAAACTCTACATATAAAAATATAGACAGTACCAGTAAAAAGTAAGAGAAAAAAAAATGGCTATCGAATTGTCGCTTGTTGTATAGTTGGGAGTTTCGCGAAAAATGTTAAGCCTAGGGTCAAAAATTAAGGTGAATTCATACACTACACATATAGGAAGATATTATAAATTTATAACATTTAAACAGCGTTAAAAAATTGGATAGACGTTGTCAAATTATTGCTAAAAATGATTACACACGTTGTGGTTAGCGTTTTACGATCTACATGATATTCTTAATAACGGTATAAAATTTAATAACAATGGGTCCTGTAGTTTCGAAGATTATTTGTCTAACAAAAAAATCGACACAAACGATACAAAATCTCACATAAACAACAAACAATAGAGACGGGCGGACAGACGGACAGACAGACAGACGGATTTTTTCGTATTCTATGGGTCACAAAATATCGAAAAAAAATAGTGACGTCAAAGAAAATATTAAGTGGTTCGTTACATAAAAATTATTAGTGACAAATTACGAAGCTAGAAAATCTTACAAGAGAAGCTCCCTAGCTAAGACTTTCACACAGCTTATCTACATATATTAAGTATAATAAATTATAGAGAATAACTTTAACATTACTAGCATGGTAAAAAGGTTTTTACTGGCAGACAGAAGGAAATGACTGGCGAGGCAAGTGGTATGTTTTTCTCAAAAAAGGAGACGACCTGTATCAGTTAAAACTAATTTTAGTTTCGGCTGCTTAGTTTAACAAACTGTGAAGTTTTGGTTCAATTTTTGTCTGTTTTTAGTAATTAACGAAATATCGAAAAACGGGCGCTTACTGAGTCATCTGGTAAATTTATAAGTCTTAGCACATAATAAAATTGTTTTATTTATTAAATCATCAAAACAATAGATCGGAAGGAGGACCCAATCCAGCTTGAAACGGAGTTTTATAAGCTTATGAAAGGATACTTCCCGAGAATATCTTTTTTACTTTACGATCATAGCTACTAGAATCAAACAATAAGTAACACATGGCAACCTGTTTGTCATGTGTGACCTGTTGGAAATTTTATTAAAGAGAAAATGTGCGAAACTACTGGGTTGATTGTTGTACAATCTATAACACTATCAAAATTTGTCTGATCATTCACATTGAAAACGTAATGAAGTCATCTTCAAATTTTGAATAAAAATGACAAGCTTCTAGTATTAATCCAACCACATTTTTAACTCTGCGCCAGTAGGTTATTGCAAAAAATGCCATGATATCACTTAGAAACCACACAACCGTTCATTTCCAAAGATTTATTGGTGTTTGAAAAATATTTGCGTGTTTTTAATGGCATATGTACGGGTTATCCAAAAAATAAAAATTTTCAAAAGCAAATTTTAAGATAAATCTACGCGAAAAACGGTTTCGAAATTTTGGCTAACTTGTAGTACTTGCTATATATTAAAGCATCCTGACCCAGTTTATGTTTGAAGCCGATTTATCATTGGGTTCAAGTTTTCCATACCTCTAAAAGATTTAAAATCCTCGAAAGAATGGTAGTATGACACCCAAATTATCTAAGTATGATTATAACTAGTTTCATTTTTGTATTGTAATAGAGTCCTTTTGGCGAATGGCTACTTTTATGTTTTCTCGATGTTTTATTACCTCAAGAGTACGAAAAAAATAGATTTCCTGTTTCTGTCGTCTGTCTGTCATCTGCGACCATTTTTATTATACAGATAATCTGCGAAACTACCGGATTGCTGCCAAATTTTATATTAGGAATGTCATGTAGATAGTAAAAGGTTAACCAAAATTTATCTAATCATCAACACGTACAATGTGATCACGTCACGTGTGGTTTATGAATACGTGCTGATTTTTTTCCCAGGCATCCACATTTTTGTAAAAAAATCATAATTTTATAACAACATTTTACAACTTCGAATGTGTTTAAATTGAATGCTTTGAAAGCTTGCAAACGTTTCAAAGTTAGCGTAAGTATGGTAAATTGTTAATCAAAATTTTTCCGTGGATTCTGTATCAAAAAACTGATGACGTTATCTATAGATTATGAATAATAAATCCTATCTACAATATTCAAAATATTATGGGTCTGTATATGTGGTTTATCAATACATTCCATATTTTTACTTCCCGAGCTAAGCTAACATTTTGTTCGATTGTAGCTTACTTAATAATTTTAATCCTCGGTTTTGGGGCGACAAACGCACTGAAATCAAGCTAATTTCTACGTGGCATTCTTCCGATGTATAAACATAAACACTTTCAAGTTGTTTTACTTATCGAGCGTAAAGGAAGGAAGTATAGTGATGGAGTCCATCGGGCGATTTTATACTTTTATATTTTCTCGACGTTTCATAATCCCTAGACAAGGCCGTAGCTAGGGGGAGACTAGGGAATGCTGAGCCTCCCTTAGAGAAATTTTGGCCTCCCCTAAATCTAGACAAGTTATAATTAACCAAATGTGAATTATAATATCCAAAATTAAAATAAAATGCAATGTTTTATGTAATAAATGGAAGTCAGAGCAATAAAAAAGTCTGGACCATCGTAATTGTGATAAGGTTATTGCAGTTCTTAGAAAACATCTTTAAGTATAGTTTCTCTGTTTCACTATACTATAGTATAGTACTATAAATTATTTTCAGTTGTCTTCGGTCGCACCTCTGCTACTACACACGGCAGACGCGATTAAATTGTTTCGTTATTTTAATGATTATGAATCACGATTCGTAAATTTGGGAATACAGTATTTTTATTATTAGTATTACACTGCATGTATCCAAATTGATATACGTATCATCACAAAATTTTGTAAAAGAAAAACTCATTTGAAACATACGCGTAGCACGCTTTGTAGATTTATTTTAACATTACATATTTACATAGGTTTATTTCAACTTATAGGGGTTCTCATAAAAACAATAAAATTCGCAAAATCAAATTTTATGATTTTTCTAAAATGCTAGATGCTTCAATATACTTCAGGGGAGAGGGAACTTTGAAAATAGTTCTGAAGAATACTTACAATCAGAAGACGACGCGGCGGTTTGAGAGGATTTATTGTAAATTTACCTGGAATAAATCAACTGATTAGTTATAATTATTATTAAGAATAAAAAATATTAGGCAAATTGTATATGACAACGTTTACCTTACTTTACAAATTCAATAGTTGTAAAGCAATCGTGATTAATAACGGTTATTCGCTGTTACACAATGGACTGGATTTTAAGATTTAAAGAATTAAACAATTGTTCAATATTACAGGGACGGCTAGTGCCCCAAAATTACACTGGACATAGCAAAATAGTAATTTTCAATACATATTTAAAAAAAATTGTCTCATAATTATAAAAACTAATTTTTTTAGCTCGCTCCACTTTTATAAAATGTATCAAAACTTACATCCACTTACATCTAAAGATAGTTGTGTTTTGGATATTGATGTGTTGTTAATGAAGTGCTGATAAAAACCGGAGACGGAGATCAAATCATGGCTGATTTAGACGTTTCATTTAAACCATTGCCATGGAAACGGTGGGTCTGATCGCGATATTGTAGTGAAATTATTTGCTTTTAAATAAAAATAATGCATTCGATTGAATATTTAACAAAAAATCGTCCTCTGTGTCGACGATAAAATTTTCGTGAACACTTTTTGTTTACTTTTTTTGTTTATTTCTTTCTGTTTTTCTTTTTCTTATTACTCTTGCCCTTAATTTAGGTTTTACCTGTTGGACATTGAATTAATAATGATAATAATAATTTTTGTATTGATGTCATGAGCCGCCACTGCAATATTAATTGTTACTAAAAAACATGACGTCAAAAAACGATTTCAAATAACTCTTTTAAAAACAGGTAAAATATTAATGTTGAGTTCCAAGGGGTAAAAACGGGTATTTTTGAAGAGCGCGGATGCCACAGGCAATGGTAAATTTTGAAACACTCGAGGACCTACCGTTTCCGACCTGCCCAGACAAAGGGACAAACGTAAATGAAAGTGGTGCAAT